CTGAACTGGGCACCGCTTCCTGTAGTCGGGGCAGCCTGTGGATGTAGGCAACCTCAGCAGTTGCCTAGGGTGCCGCGTTTAATGCGGCGCCCAATGATGACGTCATGCCATTGAGGGCTATGGAGGCAGGCGTGCCAATCGCACAATCCGCCTAGGGCGTCAGTTGCCGGCAGCTCTCCTCGAGCCGCTCCTGCCTCTAGTGATGTTCAGTCCAGGAAGGTTGGCAACCTGGAGCAGGGCCAGGAGGGAGGCACAGGCCGGAGGAGCAGCATGTGGGCAGGAGGCTGGGAGATGGAGCTTGGAGCCACACAGGGCACCATGAAATTTGGGGGCATCTGGTGCCCCGAAGTGCTCGGAGAAAGAATCAGGCAATCCGTTGCCTCAAGTCCTCTCTGCCCCACAGCGGGATCCCTGCTAACCCCTGGCACTCCCCTCACCACAGCCCAAGGCTGTGCTTGTACACTCCCCACCCTGTCCCAGACGGCAGGAAGAAGGCACCCTAGGAGCCTGTGTTTATTCTGGTTTCAGCCAGCGTCAGGCTCGGTGTGACCGACACAAGCCAGCCTTGTGTAGCTCCTGCAGGGGAAAACAGGCCTGAAGTGTGTTCTGCCAAACAGCTGGCTAACCACTGAACATTCAGGCTCATTCAGCACACGTTGCCCTTGCTCCTCCCCTGGCCGTTTGCTCTGAGTTGCAGATTCATCTTTGTTACACGTATCACAGAGCATGGGCATCACTCCCCAGGTTCACTCAGATGGTCAATCACAGAGGCAGATTCCATTCCTTCAAGTGGCCCTATGGTGACATGGCTTGAGTCCAAGCATCGGACACCAAGGACAGCTGTTAACATCACACAATGCAGAGAGACTTCAATGAAGGCAAGGGATCTGGCAGCAAAACTAAATTCCGTGTGCTGTTCAAGAGAGAAGACTACTAATTATATACGTGCATAAAGACTTACACTATGTAATGATGAATTGGAGTGGAAATACCAGAAACCAAGAGATAAATAGAACAGCAGCAAAAGTACCTGTCAATTGAGGGACCCCTGTTAATGAGGCTAATTAAGTGGGCTGGATGTGTCCCCGTACATAGCTTTTGATGTGGAAATGCAGATGTTAAAAGCAGGAGAAATTGGCTTTGTAACGCACCAGCCCCTTAATGTCTTTGTTCTAGCCCAAGGTAATGGTGTCAAATCTGTAGATGAATTCCAGTTCCCAGCTTGAACAAAGACAGGTCCTACAATTGGCAGGTATTTCTGCTGTTCTATATATCTCTTGGTTTCAGTTATTTCCACTCCAATTCATCCAAGGAAGCGGGTTTTACCCCTCAAAGCTCATGATTCTATACATTTTGATGAGTCTCTAAGGGGCCACGGGGTGACTCATTGTTTTTAAAGTTACAGACTAACATGATGACCCCTCGGAGATATGTAAAGACAGTTCTAATGTCAAGCATGAGGACCTCAGATGCCCCAAATCCTCAGTCTGATTCAAGTATGAGATTTTGGTTTGGTTCATTATAAAAAAATACAGCAAATATCAGCAAACTGTGGATGTCTGTCCCACACCCAGTTCCAATGATGCATCTAACTAGGGCGTGGCTTTGGGACCAAGGGACGTGGGAAATTCTCCATCCTTGGATTCTATCTGTCATGGCTTGATGCACCAATCAGTGGGGGAAATTCTGTCTTATGCAAAATGACTTACTGGGCCCTTCTAGCCTTTTGTTGTGCCAGGGGGGTAGAGAGCAAGCTCGCTTTTATTTGCAGCTTAAAAGTAAAAATCAGCTGACTTGCCCACCTTCCCGCCCCCCATCCTTCCCTCACAAACCAAACTGGTAGCACTCTCTTCTCTAGTTTAAATAGAGGTGGCAGTTTCATTTAGCCCTGGCAGGATGTGGTGGGGGGCAGGGCTAGCAGGTAACCCCACAACAGAGCACAGGGGTGCTGTCGCTTTTGCTTCTGCAAGTTTCATGCAAGTAGGTGGGCTGATGTGGGATTTTGGCCCAGGCTCATCTCTAGTAAAGAGAAAGTTAAACACTCTTTGCACTGCCAGCAAGCGCCCGCATATATCCTTCTTGCTCAAACACACACACCCCAAGGGCAAAATCCATCCCCAGGGCCTGCTTAGGCACCATGCAAGTCTGACCATAAGCCCTCAGACAGGTCTGAAGAAGTGCACCTGCCTCCTACTGACCCTCTATACAGGGTTGAGCTTCACTCTGAATGAATCTTTCTTCTGCACCTCAGTCAACACAAGCAACAAACTGTCGCACACCAGCTGCAAAATACAAAGCAGTGCCGCTGGGTGACCAGGGTGCTAGTCTGGGACTCAAGCTTTATTCACAACTCTGACTTTAAATGACCTTGGGGAGGGGGGGGAGAATCTCATGCTTCAGTTTCCCCATTGGTAAAATGAAGTGTGGTCCTGTCCTCCCTTGTAAAATATGTCAGGACTGACCGCTGTAAAGCACTGCATAAAAGCTAGCTGGTTTCATCACAGTTCCAACCTACTGGCGGATGCAAGAGTTCTAGACCCATTCCCTTCACCAACGAGACAAGGACTTGTCTAAGAACCCTCTGAAAACGAGAATATAGCATGGCAGGGACAGCCCAGTTCCCTCAAAAAGGAAATAAAACTGTTTGCCCCAACCAGGTTAACTGTGCTGTCATCTAGATAGCAACACACACATTTAAACACAGCTGATGCCAGCGATCACGCCGAAGGAGCCCATATACAAAAAAGATTCTGTAATGTCCAGAACTGGACCCCAAGAAATTAGATACCAGCCCTGCAAGCACTTTACACCTCTGCAACTAGGGCCTTAATTCTAACTCCTGCCCCCAAGAATTAAAATATTATCATGCCTATTTTTCAAAGGGAGATCTGGAGGCAAAATTTTAACCAAGGAAGGCATAAAGGGAGTCACTATTCTTTAAGAGCCAGAATTAAACCTCAGGAATTCCTCTTGCTCCAGTACTCAGTTCTCTGGGTCATACCTTTCCCAAGTATCTAACAACATGACCCAGCATAATGTTTGTATAAAAATGAAGTAGAGCTGTTGCAAATTAAAAAGAGCCAGGCTATTAGGAGCCATTGGTCAGGACCTCTTTGGAGCTGAGTGCCAAGTGAGTCTTTACTTTGAGTTGGGTCCAAGGAAGGGCTTTGAAAAGGGCACTGTGTGTTTTTCATTTCCAAGGGAGACTTTCCTGCATGTTTGCTTCGGCTCTTGGTTTGCCATGATCCCACTGCCTTGTAGCATTTCATGGAATCCTAGAGCTGGAAGACACCTCAGGAGGTCATCAAGTCCAGCCCCCTGCCCAAGGCAGGACCAGTCCCAAGTAAATCAACCCAGCCAGGGCTTTGTCAAGCCGAGACTTAAAAACCTTAAGAACATTTAAACTTCTCCTTTCCCCCTCCACAGCCAAATGCCGTCAATGTTTACCTGAAACACTGCCTTTCATAACCCTTTTTGCAGTTCCCCGTGCAGCTCTGATGCTGAAGGCCACATGACAAACTAATCCGTTATTGAAAGTAGATGTTAACTGTGTTCTGGCAACTCTCTCATTTACGCATATTTACTGAGAATGCAGTACATAAATAAGCATCTATATTTAGGAAGTGGTGCATGAGAGGAAGCATTCTGCATTGAATGGGGCATTTGCAGTGAAGCATGAAGCGATCAGAGAATAAACATTGGTATAAGGGGTGGAAAAGAATAAGATCACCGGAACTTTCCGCATGATCGCTACAGTGGAAAAGGCTGCTGTGTCTTCGCAGGCAGTGAACTCGAGGAGAGAAGACAAGGTATTTCTCTCTCAATCTGTTTCAATCCAGTTCTAAAAAGGAAGAGGCTGGCTGGTAGCGCACAGTCTTACAGTAGTCTCTTGAGCATTGCTCCTCACGCACATGATTTCAGAATAATATACATTCAATAAGGTACTTAAAACCATGCATTTCATTGTCACAAATTTCTAGGAGCTCAGTAATTCTGTTTTGGCAGATTAATTTGGCAGTGCCACATAATGATTTCTCCAGAGGATCGTTAGAGCCTATTCATTTCCCTTTTTTACTTAAAATGTAGAAGACTAAAGAAAATAAAATGATTTGTTGGCATGCAAGCTGCACTTCAGGGTGAACCTCTCTAGTCCGGTATCTTTGGGACCTGACTGGTGCTGAACCAGATAATTTGCCAAACCACGGGAGGTCAGTATTGTCTGGCAGCATGACCAACACTTCCACTGCTTGCTAGGCTCTTAGAAGACACTTAGGGGTCCATTAGAGCTATATAACAGCATGGAACAGTGAGATCCAGGACTGGTGGCTGTAAACAAACTTTATGGGACTGTGGGAAACTTGGCCACACCCACGATAAGTGGACATGTGGCTCACTAAAATCATTCCAGGCCACGGATGTTGCCAGACCAGAGAGCGCTGAACAGCGACAGTGGCACTGCCCTAAAGAGGAGCTGGAAAGTCTGGAGACACTAAACTGGTGCAGTAAAAATGAATTTTAGTACATTTTTTTAAAAATTTCTTCCATCCTGCACTTTCAGCCATGTCAGTGTTTGCATAGTACAGCCATGCTGCAAGGATGCAATGCCATAACACCTACCCCACTGTATTTTGATCTCTGAGGAACAGCAGCAGGGGGACGTTTCAGGGCAGAGAGACTGAGCTGCATTGTTTTCCATGAGACACGCCTGAGAGGGTTACTTTGTTCACTTACAGCCCCAGCCTCTCTCCTGGAGTGGCTGCAGGGCAGGAGACAGAGGGCAGTGCAAACCTGAGAAGCAGTGTCATTAAACAAGAGCCCCGATGTGCACATCTCAAATGCCTGTGGATCATCTTATTCACTGCAGCAGAACCGCATGCATGAGAAACGGTTTCAGAAATGGAACCTAAATGAGTCTGATAAGTGGAAACAGGAACTGACTAGCCCAGAGACTGTGAATTTTCTCATTTGGGCAAATTAAAGGGGGACTAGCATTTACAAACCATGATGGATGATGTAATGGTCCATGAGCTTCTGCATAAGGCGAATACCCGTCTCTCGGTCAGGTGCTTCTTTGTGGTCAATCAGCCAGTCTGTCAGTTCCTTTGCCACAAAGCAGTTGGGGTACGTTCGAAGCTGGTGGCGCCTGTCCTTAATGAGCTTTCCATCGTGAAGTCGAAGCCTACGGGGAGAGAACACCATGAAGCGTGTGTGTGTCATTTCAGAGACACCGTGTGCCAGTGATGCATATGCCACCATAGGCTTGGGGATTACAGTGGTTCAGGCAAGAGTCTGGAGGCGGTACCGAGCCTCTTGGATCTGCGAGATTGTCTTTGTTTTAATGTTTTCATAAGGTGCCTGTCTTGTGAGTTTCCTGATACCTTCCATTGCTAGCCCTGACCATAAAACAGAGGGCAAAATGGAAGTCGTGAACCTCAAAAATTCATTCACCCTGGCTTCGGCTTGAACTAGTTTTTATTTTACCTAAAATCAGCTGCTCTTTCCCAAAAATTGCACAGTAAAGAGCTATGCTCATAGGTAGGCAATGGCAGAGAAAAGTTTGTTTTTTCTCGATCTTAAATCATGGGCAAGTTACAGGCAGTCCCCGGGTTAGGTACAAGATAGGGACTCTATGTTTGTTCTTAAGTTGAATCTGTATGTAAGTCGGAACTGGCATCCAGATTCAGCCGCTGCTGAAACTGATCAGCAGCTGATTCCAGGAAGCCCGGGGCAGAGCAACTCTGCCTCGGGCTTCCTGTAGTCAG